AATTCAGACTTTTCAGGCTGCAAATTTTGGTGAAAGAGTCTTCGGATGACTCGACATTCTGCTTGAGAGTTGATGTAATCCTAGGCCCATAGTAGTGCCTATAGGGCCAGTATAGTCGATATTACGTCATCATTTTAGCCTCTCGACCAATCAGAACGCAGAATTTGGCTGACAGTACATTTGGAGACAGGTGGACGCGCTTCTGATGGACGCGTTTGTGCTTTCACACGCAAGTTCAACTCCGTTTTAATTTGTGCGCTTTCGCAGTGAATCCAAGAATTTCGATACCCAGAACAACTAAATGTACATGTATCTCATCCCGGCACAGTTTGTCTCTCAGACGTAACTGGTCAGCATCACCTTCGGCTTACTTTGTTGCACTTTTATTTTCATAATGACAGAAAATGCACACAATGGAATCATCGTGTCTGTTGGGGTCATCTATTCATCTTGTCTTTAGGCGGCCTGATTTTCTGGGTAACCCTAAAATGCAATAAGTTAAAAAATAGAGGTAAATATCAAAACCATACCTCTAACATCTTTAATACGAAAAACGTAAAAAAAAGTCTAAAAACTTAAGTACAATGCAGTAGACACGTTTAAATGTACATTTTGTACGTTGTTGGGACATCATACACAAAGTAAATAAATGGAGACACTGGGTGCCTAAAACCAACCGAAACTCACCAGAACATTCTTTATCAACGGGCGATATACGCTTTTATGTGTTTTATTATCATTACGTACAAACGATACAGCAGATAGTATTTAAGTAAATCAATCTTAATTGACAATAAACGGAATTACATCGGGTTAAATAAATTGCAGATTAAAAGGATTCGAGATATAAAAGAGCCAAGAATTTTAGTTTGATCTAAGCATTTGTGTCCTTGGAAAAGATTTTTTTCGTCTTTTAATAAACAAAGGTGTTAAAGAGCTAAACCTCCTTTAAAAATCTTTTGGCCTTTTGCGATACTTGAATAATACAAAGGATTTTATGAAAAACACTGACGACTGTTCTTCATTTTTTTTACATGGTGGAGCCAAAGTTAACTCTCTGTGTACACAAAGAGTACATGTACTACTTATCAAAGGGAAATCGTTCAGTTTTTATTTCATTTTGGTTACTTAAACAATTACTTTCATTAAAGTAAAGTTTAGTGTAGACTATTTTCCAAGTTTAGTTGGCAATCTGGTTTATTGCATTTAAGAAGAAATTCAAGAAAAAACCCTCCCTGTACGTAGTTGCTGTCCCTCCCTTGAATATATTTGAGCTTCAAGTAAAGAGAAAACAAAGATAATTAATAGCATGTTTAATAAAGATCTTTTTATCGTTACACACTCCTAATGACTTCAATCTAAATAGAATGAAAAGGCACGCCGGGAGATGTGTTGGTATTCCCGCAATAATTTGTGCGTAATAACCCATAGTAAATTTTAGATAAATAACCCATATAAACGGCTCCATTATTTGCTTGAAAATGGCCTTGACTGAATAAAGATTTCAAATGATAACTCACCCAACTGAATACGTCTGAACCCCCTGGGATGTATGATGATTGCTGATTTGAAACCCTGTTCCGAATTCTGTTAAATTGTATAAACCGAGCGTGGCCTTTTGATGAAGCGCGCCCTCACAAGAAGGCCGTGAAATCGCGGCACTGCTGCAACATTTAGCGTTCAATGATGGCAAAGTACCAAGCATTAGGACAAAAACAAACGTAGAGAGATTCTATCATCTTCGAGAATCAGTATTATGTGGAGATCTTCCAAACGCACTATAAGCTTAACATGTCATTTTGCGACCTAACATACATATGGAATTATGGATTTACATGTATGAAACATGATCGTATTGACAGTGCAGGATTAAGCAACCATTTACCATTGCCTTGCTCTTTCATGTGGTTTTAGTTCACAAAACAATATTGTGTCTATTGTGTCTTGCCTTCAACCGTTTTGTCAGCTCTATTTCCCAATATACACGACTAGAATTCCAATGCCGAGTGACAATGTCATGGCAGTTCAATTGGTTTGTAAACTCAACATTAAACACACTCTTTAGGAGATTACGAACTGTTTTAAATTGTGAATGACGGCAACTTTTCAGTCATTATGTTCCTACACACAAACATTAACCAAACGACTATGTGACGCAATGGGGCTACAAACTGTCTTCCCACCCTGAGAAGTGTGATATTAATAGCCATAAGGAACTGTGCCAAAGTTTTCGACTTGAACCCTTTTAGTGTAAAAACCTGATACTTCTTGTTTTCTACTTTTGTTTCGATATTCATCGTTTTCTTATTTCTGCATATTTTATGGGATCTGTTAGCTGAACGCCAATGTGGTGCACCATCTGGAACATTCTGTCAAAGTTCAAGACTGAGTGATTTCTGTAGTTCAGCGTTATTCTGCGCACTTTACAGAATGTCGTGTTCCCACTCTTATCTGGCTTAGCCAACTTAAAAGCGTAGTTTTGGGGTCCACCTGACACGAATATATGCTGTAATATAATTATCTGATTCAGTTTCATTTGTTAATTCGCCGAGGAAATCCCCAATTTCGGGTTCCCATTCCCCCTCACGACTAACGTAAATCACGCTATTAGTATCGTATTAAATACAATACTCGGCGTCCTAAATTCTCCAACAGTTCGTACAATTTGAGGTGAGCTTGCACTGTGGTGTTCGCTGCAATGATGACGTTGGTCCGTCCAGAAGGCTCGATGAAATCATCAGTATTCTGCCACTGAACTTCCACCATTTCCGACGAGACGAAGTGGGTGCTGTTCACTTGGATGTCATCGCGAGTCATCCTCTCGAAGTAGGGTCCGCAGGGTCGCTAAAAATGCGACGTTTTCGCCATGTTAGGTCTCTCAGGCGAAACTTACCCCAAAACCTATTGATCATCAATTTTGCGAGTGCCCTGAGGCCGGGGTTCTTTTGGATATTATCCCACTCCAGCCTGACACCTTCCCTGTCGAAGTACCTGTGGATGTAATCGTGTTTCTGCTGCATCGTCTGACACCTCTGCGGCCAATCGCTGGCTTCCTGCTTCATTTTTAGGAAATCATTAATGTACGACGCAAATAGTCCTCCTTCTTTTGTATCGGGATCGTACTGAGCAACGCAGTCAAAATGCCACACCTCATAGATCGTAAGCAGTAGGTAGCCCGTCTTAAGTGCGTTTTGAAGTTCCGACGTGACCTAGGTACCCCTCGAAGCCCGCTCTTCGTCACTATGGAGACAGGAAGACTGCTGTTGAGCTTTGCAGCGCTTGGCGCACAGAGGAAACATCAACCGGCCAGTTGCTTTGTAGGGAAGTACTGGGTGACACAGCCCTCTGGGAGGAAGCACTTTGCCCTTGACCAGACCCTCATACTCGCTCATTCACCAAAATTCTCGGTGTTGATAGTGGGATGACCGATGGGATATTTACCATACTTGTTTATGTACGGTTACAGGCTGGTAAAATCCAGTTTTTTGTTTGTTTGTTTGGTTTTTTTTTTTTGGTGCGTCCTCCAAAGAAGGCATCACGAGGGACGACGGGGTGGGAACTTCCAAGGCCTCAATGTATTCTCTCATCGAGTCATCCGTCTTCAATTGCGCATCGAACTCGCATTCCTGCTGCTCAATATAGCGATAGCCCTGGTCGATGATGAACTGCTGTTTCTCAATGGTTTTCTGGTATAGTTGGTATAAGTGATTGATAAGAGTCGATGTATAAAATGTGATAACCAATACAGCAATCAATATTATTACTGTGTGTCCGATACCAAGCAAGACCAAAAATATCACAATCAATGCGTCAGTAAGAGTGTCCAAAGTCCCACTGAAATCATTGCTGCTCGAGTTTTGCTGGCTTTTGTCCTGAAACTCAGAGGATCCCGCACCGCAGAAAATTTTGCAACAGCAACGGCTGCTACGAAGGAGCAGGAAGCAAACTCCGTAGCAAAAGCGAATCCAGCATATTGATGATCGTGTTGTATGGTTCGTCGGGCTGCGGCGCCCACGCGTTGACCTAGTAAAAGATCAGCATCAGTCCATCGGCGACAGCCAGGCTGGATAGGTAGATATTGAGGACAGTTCGCATGGACTTCACCCGGACGATGACGAAGAAGAAGGCGAGGTTCAAGAGGATACCAAAAGATGCGATTATCGTGAAGCTATAGTCTGTGACGTGCCATTATTATGTTGGAAGTGAGTGTCAGCCTCGTAGAGCTTGATCTGTTCGTCCTTCAGTCCGTAATTGATTGCGGTATAGCTCATCTCCTTGGTTCAGAGATTTAGATCTTATGTTTGTTCTCAGAGCTCGTCACCTATCTAGCATTTGATAAATGACTATGGAAAATGACATTTACCTGATCATTATAGACTTACCAGTACATTGAAACTGAACACGTTAAATGTTTACAGTCAGGTATACCATTATTGAGTATGGTGTAAAAACAAGTATTCCATAGTTGCAAGGGAATGCGACGTGGAAGTACCGATCTTTATCCATATCAATTTCTCAACTCCGGAACTGCAATTCAGTTGAAGTGAAACTCTGTAATTTCCTTCACTTTTTTGGAAATGACGTACCCTAAAGCCCCGTTTGCCAATTTTTAACGTGCAGTACGTGTGCTTCAAATAAATGGTCGAGTAAAAAGAGAAATAAACACCGTCACTCAGAAATGGACTGATCATTCTGCCAGATCATGATTAAAAAGCTTTTCATAGAGAGAGGAGCTTCAAAATAAAACGCTGTAGTTTCCTGCTGTGAAAAGCATAGAGGGGGTGATTTTATTCCTGAGGCTCTTGGAAAATTTGATTGCCTGAACGGGGTTATGTAGTTTATAAACGATCGGCCGATTTTTATTTGTTTGAAGCAACCCCTGAAAATGCACCTTTGTTTCCAAATTAACAGTTTTCGAAGAATGACATCCGGTAACAGCGCCCTCAGTTGCCTAAAAAACACATACACGATTTTCAATAATTATGTTACAGTAACGTAATAAACCCATTGATAATCAAATAACTTTAACACACCGAAGAAGGGTTTAGGATAACACTAAAGGGTTCCGATACGAAATATTCATTTGTGTTTACAACAGCTAGGTCAACAATCCCCGCCAATTGGAGTAAACAAGGAAGATCGTACAGTGTCAAGGACGCGCAGGCTACGTAGGCCTATTCAAGTTTACCTGTCAACAAAACCTTTTTATATTGCGGGTTAAAGGTCAGTTCTTGTTGCACGTGATTCCTCACCAGGCACTGGCAGACATGCATAGCGCAACTGTTGGTGTCGAATGGAAATAGGCTGATATGACAACATAACCATTTCCTGCTACAGAGGTAGGTTCCTATTTCAGTGAGGACATCTTCGAAAGAACTTTTCCTTCATAGCTCACGAAGGAGGGAAAATATGGCGTTCAGTGAATTGTTCATAATATTTGTAATGTATGTTAGAAAGTATAGGCTTGACAGCAAGCGTGCTATGCCACTGTAAAGACGACTAGTACGTCGTATCCTCCAACATAATTGTACCCATGCAAGTATTAGGCCGGGAGGGCCCCTTGTAGGCCCATACACAAACACTCCCAATGTCCCGGGAGTGTTCGTGCAGCTGAGAGCCGTATTTTATCTTAATTTAACGACTTCTTGGCCAACATTGGTTTTCCGCGCAGATCTTGTGAACAGGTATTTTGTCTGCCATGACAAAATTAGCGACTGGAGAACTGGGATAAGTCTAATGAACCACGTATAAAGGTCACAGATTCATTAGTTTCCTGTAAAGGAGCATGCAATGAATACCGTCACCTTTGAAAATGTACCTGTGTGTTTCAAAGGGTTTTTGAAGGGTATTTTGGCGCCTTTTTGATATGCTACTTGCGATGTTATTCTAAGTTCATGAGCGAAACTGTGATGTCACAGTGGGATGTCAAATGGTTTTCATTGAATATTGAAGAATTAGTAATAAGGTAAAAAGTGTGAAGGCAGTTCTTCGCCTGCACCTACTAAAATCCAAAGAATCCGCTTTTTTACATTCTATAACAGTCAAGAATGGTTTCTAGTCCTTCAGTTTCGATAGCCCTGTGTTAATATTTATTAAACATTAAATGCATATCTGCAAACTTTTTTATAAGCCTATTCTGTCTGATTGGACAAAAAAATGTTGTTTCGTCTATCATTAATTCATTACAAAACCGTCAGGCTGTGGGCGACCACATTCCATCGTGAACAGTCCGTAGAAAAAGTTGACACTTTTCTTCCACCTTTATTTGAAATTGGACATTTTGCAAGAACGTTGCGTTGGAGGCTGATCTCAAAAACTTACCTCGTAATGAACTGAAGATATTAGTGAAAAAAAACAGCAATTTTCTGTGATTAATAAAAATCAAGCAAATACCCCAACAAAGAAAAACAAAATAAACCAAACAAACCGGAACGGGTGCTGTAGTGAAATCCGAAGAAAAGGTGTCGTTGTATGCGAGTCTGTCCCACCCTGAGGGTCAATAAAGTGCCGACTCACTGGACGTTTATCGATTACATCGGTTTAAGGTGTCCCTGTACTCAAGATGAAGCTCACAAGATGGAAATTTCACAATCTTTATTTTATTTTGTTTGTTTAGCAGAATGCTATATTTCTGCTTGAAGATGAAGTCGGCGCCATTACTCGGCTGTGTTCTGGCGATATTTATTGCATGGAACGTGTCGCTGGCGCATGATGTCGACGGGCCGCCCACGACTGATTGGGAAACATGGAAACAACGTTACAGGAAGAAATATGGAAGCATGTCGGAAGAAATTGAGAAGCGGGCGGTTTGGGAAAGGAACTCGGCCATCATAAGGAAACACAACTCCGAAATGAACAAAACCTTTGATCTTGCGATGAACGAATTCGGAGACCAGGAACAGGTACACCAGTTACTTTGTAACATTTCTCGTTGGTCGAAATGTGTATTTCGCTCGTCCCGCCTCCCTTGCAAGGCGCTGGGGACTGTCAAAGCCCTTCACAGAACTCTGTGAAGGAAGTACGTCACTGTTTAAGTTGTACAAAGCATTGTGGTCTTCCTGCCCTAATCAGTGCATAATGGACATCATATATTCAGTACACGTGTCACGTGCACACGGAATTGACCACCGTTCAATTGAACTCTTGGACTTCCCAATGACAAACGTCAAAAATGACGGGCGTCCTAAGATAGTTTCCCGTCGATCCCTGTAAGGGCTGCGAGGAGGGGCAAAACTGGAAATATCCAGAATAAGTGTCATCCTCAAAGTCGTTGCCAAGTGACAGAGCAACAATCTTCATTGACTTCATCCACACACGGGGCTCAAAGACCTAATTATCCACCATTTCAAAACCACAGCTAATTTTGAAGAGTTTGTGATGTCTTTATTTCACTTTGGAGCAGATGACAAGGAAGCATTTGCCGTATGCCTACCCCGCTCGGTCCTCCTCGTCAGATGTCTCTCAAAAGAATCTAATGGGGTCGCCCCACGTGGTCCTTCCAAGCAGCGTGGATTGGCGAAAGAAGGGTGACGTCACACCCGTGCGCAACCAGGGGCAATTAGGGTCAGCAGCAGCCATTGCTGCTGCCGGTAAGCAAACATTTCACAGCAGTGTGTTAGCTGTTGAAAAACTTCACTTTGACCTAATTTTTTAAAAGTCCTTTAAAGAGCACCTCTAAGGAAAACATGTTTTCTCTGATTTTATCCTTTCAAATAAATATGAAAGCATCCACATCATGTCATTTGTCTTCAGAGCTCAACTGTAAGCTAAAAGGGGCTTTTTCCTGTTCATGCCGAGATGCGAATTCTGAATGTATATTGCGTCATTTAAAGAAAACAAGGGGAACCCTCACCCTGTGTTCATAGTGAATAAACCCTTGTGCATGCCAAACGATGGCTACAAACAATGGCTACATGCGCTGTTTGGTATGCACAAGGGTTTATCCACTACGAACAGAGGGCGAGGTGTTTTTCTCAGATGTGCTTTAATGCTAATCCGTATTTCTACCTTCTCACTCTACTGGATGCTTGCTTAAGCAGCTTTTGCTCTTGAAAAGGTCAGAAATTGATCGAACGAAAAGTTACAAAAATATGTACATAGATTCTATGAACAATACACTTTAGTACGTTTTTGCAAAGTTTTTAATCAACGAGGCAAAATGTACTGTGAGTTTCTCCAACTCTCCAAAGCCAGGCCCGTTACTGTATAGAGCACACTGCAAGTCTGGTCACAATGGCTGAACAGAATGAACTATCAAAAAGAGATATACTTTGGTCCCACAGTGCACTTGAGATTGAATAGTTTGCAATAGATTTCAGAGGACGTTTGTTGTGGTAGACTTCACTAAATCGCTGGCTAGGTTTTTGAAGTGTTGCTGTGGGGTATATAAATCTACAATTTTTTTAATTCCAGGGAAAACTTCACTAGTATGTAAACATACATTCACCAATTCACCAGTATGTAAACATACGTGTGTTTAGGCAAATGGACAGATGGACATCAATATGTTAAATTATACAAGTCATAAAAAACATAAGGTAGAATTAATTAGTCAAGAAAAGCACCAGGACGAATCCCATCTACAATAGAATAACCCCACGTTGTTGTTGCACATATCAAATATGTCTTTAAATCATTTTTGAAACCTGAAAGGGAAGGCACTTTCGGGCTCATTTTCATTTTGTAGATATTAGAACGGCAAATTAATGAAAATTAGATTGACAGCTTTATCTTCAATATCGGTTCCACCAAATAGAATACTTCATTATCCAAGTTAATACAATAATTGGTCCTTTACTTAATTCACGAAACTTCTGCAGACCAAAAAGGATAGTGTGTGAATACACAAGCAAAATATTAAAATGAATAAGAGTTTCCTTTCCGATTTTACAAAAGGTACACATTTTGGAGGTGGACTTTTTTATTTTAAACAGGAAACTATTTGTACCTAATATTATATGCTTTGATCTATATCAGGACCATCATAACCTGGTATCCACTGTACATTTAAATGGAATTTTATTTAGAGAAGTTGTAATCTAATCTACTACTTCAACGATAATTTCGTAGCCCTTCACCAACTGTTACAGACGCAGTGGCTAGCTTCCACGCAATCCACAAAGGCAACATTGCCATGCTCAGTGCCCAAGAAGTGCAAGATTGCTGCCGGATCCATTTGGCTGATTTCGTCTTTGACTGCATCCGCAAACTGGGCGGCCTCTGTAAAGACGGTGACTACAAACCAGGCAATGGAACGTGCCAAAGTGGTTCCTGCACTCCATATGCCAAGGTGAAAGCAAGGGAAAATAAAACAATGAACAGAGAGCATTGCCATCAAAATACAATGTTACATCTATATCACCATCATCGTCGTCACTACCATCCCTATTATTATTTGACAAAACAGGACCAAAAGAATACACCGAAAACAATTCAATACAGAATTCAGCAAAAACACAACTTATTTAAAAAAGACGGCAAAAAAGATTAAGCTGCAGAAATAAGCAAACCCTAAGTTAAACGAAACTAAACAAATAAGCAATTTGACTGAGATTTGGAAAGAAATGAACCAAGTCGACCCTTACCCGTACACGGGCATGCATCCAAGCAACTGCATGTATCAGAAACATTAAAAACAACCTTTCAATTAATTACTTTGTTCACCATTTTGGTGTAACCCTAACTCAGTTTTCAGTCTTTTTTGCAGCAGTCACGGATAGTAGTGTGTAGCAAATTCTTAGTTGAATCCCTTGCAAATCCTTCCTAACAAGGGCACAGGGCTAGCGAAGTTGGGTGCCAAGAAAATGATTATGCACAACTTAGACCAACTACGACCATCAGTGCATGGGTTCAGGGGTAGGGGGGAAGGGAGACACACTGATGGGGGGGTCATGCCATGTAACTACTTGTACATGTTTAAAGATTTAGTGGCTTTGTACTTCCAAAAGGTACCGAACGGTGGGAAGAAAGTCAGCTCCGGCAGTGAAGACACCCTCGCCCAAGCCGTAGTCACTGAGCCAGTCATGGTCAGCATTGATGCAAGTCAAGCCTCGTTCCAGTTTTACAGCAGCGGCGTGTACGCCAGCAGTCAGTGCTCTTCTACCCAGCTCGACCACAGCATGCTGCTGGTTGGCTACGGGCGGCTGGGGGACCAAGAGTATTGGATCTGCAAAAACTCTTGGGGTGAGTGCATGTTGGTATTGTAGGCGTGGCCCAAGTCTGAATGGGTGCCTCCAGTGAAGACGGTGTCAAAGAACAATCATCACAATATACGATAAGGTTGTCTTTCCATGGAATAGTAATAATTATTGCTTTGTTTTGTGTCGTCTCTTCTCTTTCGATTGCAGGCACATCCTGGGGTATGGCTGGCTACATTCTGATTGCGCGTAACGAGGGCAATATGTGCGGAATCGCAACAGACGCATTATACCCGATCTAGACACACAACCCCCCCAAAAAAGAACTTTACATAACCAGGGAAATGGTGAGTCCACGAGGAGACATCAAGCAAAACTCGCGTTCTTTTGATCACTTTGATACATTCTGTATTTGTTAATTTGTTTATATACAAAATCTCACACTTGGATTAGTTTTAATATCTATTTCAACTCATATAGTTCAATTCCAGGAGTTGCAACTGGGGCACTTCAAAGTGTCCAATGATGATCACCGCCGAGTCAGACGAATTATAGAAAACATTCCAAAAATGCCTGATTACTGCCTGCAAGTTAGCCGGACAAGCGGGGCCAGTAATATCCTAGCAATACTAGTTTTTTGCTTGCAATTAAATTCAAATTATCGATGTGATCAGGAAACAGACAGAGAAAAAATTCCTGATATTAGACCAACTTTTGCCATCGTAAATAAACTTTTTTAAAAATTTTGATACACTGTTCCATTATCCATGCCAGGTTTGTAATTTTCTTTTTCAGTCCTCCGTCCAATGCATCAGTGTTCAAAGACTTGGTACAAATTTGGCTAAGACTGGCCAACAAAATGTCCACTACTACTGGAAAGCTTAGTTCATTGGGAACAAAATGCGCTATTTCATCACAGGAAGTGATCGTGAAATCTCATAAAATACGCTTTTGTACAAATGCCAGATTAAAAATGATTCAAACAAAACACAAAATCTTGTAAACAACCAGGCTATTTATTCCCAAAATAACTCCAGAAGAAAGAGCTCATTGGGGGCAATAACTGCACATATAGATTTAGGGCACACAGCGTAATGCAAGCAACTGCGCAAGCATTAAATTTGATGTTGTCATGAGATCATACCAACCACCAACAAAAACATGAATATTCAATTTCCTGTACCTCAGTACATGAAGTTTTAAATGCAGATTACCATCGACAAATAGCGCCGGCAATCATAGGGTACAAAGGGGTTTCGTGGTTGTGAAACAGATGGTGCGTAACAAGCGTTCGCTGCGCTCTGGCTATGGACATACCAGGCATGCCAGAAAGCGGTAATTGGCCAGATGTTACAGCCCGGGCAGATCAAACTCCTTCTGTGTCCTTCCTCTGTGATGCACCTTAATTAAGGAGGTCAGCCAAATTGTTATTCCTATACACACACAATTACCCTTTCCCAGGCGGCGTTGCAATTGGATAACCATTCTATCATGACGGTAGCACTAGCAGTGGTTTTTATTCAAACTGAACTATAGTGTCCAGCGAAAAGTCCAAATTTCTGCTGTTTAATGACTCCAAACATCAAACTGTTAAATGAACCAATTAGCCATAAGAAATGATAACATAAACAAAAATTACTATTGCTTTATTCTATGTTATACACGCACGCATGATTGGTAAATGAATTATGTTAAATTTATCAATGTCAAGTTGATTTGGTTGGCTAATTGAACATGCAATACCACGAGGGCAAATAAGCATTTCGATTTATGTGCCATGATTACACAAACAGGACGAATTTTGGAGATCATAACAAATTGTTTGACTGGCATAATTATTGCTTAAATGTTTTCGAATGAATGACTCTGTCATATATAAGGATCAAACTAACTAAATGAAACATATATTAAACTCACTAAATGTGACAGCATAGATTCTCTTGTCTGCCAAGTCTCTTACGAGTGG